CGACACTTCTTCCATTCGTTTCTCGAACTCTTCTGGACTTTCCATCTCATATCTCGTCGTAGTTGTGACCACTTCTGTCACGACTGGGCGCTCTTCGCGCTCCTCAGTGACAGGTGATTCCTCCCGTTTCGGAGACATTTCTTCCCACCGCTTCTCATATTCTTCTTCCGGTTTCGGAGGAACTTCCTCCATTCGCTTCTCGTACTCCTCTGGACTCTCCATCTCATAGCGGGTGGTTGTGGTAACCACTTCCGTTACAGTTGGATATTCTTCACGCTCCGCCACAGTGACAGGTGACTCCTCCCGTTTCGGAGACATTTCCTCCATTCGCTTCTCATATTCTTCTTCCGGTTTCGGTGGCACTTCTTCCATTCGCTTCTCGAATTCTTCTGGACTTTCCATCTCGTACCGCATAGTAGCTGTGACCAGTTCAGTAACTGCTGGATACTGTTTGGGTTTCTCATCAGCAATAGGTGACTCTGCTGGTTTCGGATATTCGGTGCCTGTTTCAAAGGCTTCTTCCGCAGCGAAAGGAGTTTCTTCGGTTCTTGTATCCTTCAACTCTCTTGCAGGAACTTCCATTGTCAGGAGTAACTCTTTCATTCGGACCCCACACCCTTTGGCTGTTCCTCTTTTTTCGTTACTGCTTCGTACGCTGCTGCTGCACCCATTGCTGCCAAAGCAACAGGTGCAACCACAACACCTCCTGCGATTTTTGCAGCTTTTCCTGCGAAACCTGCAAGCCTGTCTCTGACTGAGAGCTCTGTTGACGTCTCCTCTTCAGGAATTCCTTCTAGTGTTGGAGATTCCTGATAGAAAACAGATCTGCTCGGTACTTCTTCTGGTGATTTCCTCTCCAATCCGTAACGAGTTTCAGTTGTGCCCATTTCTGTAACCGCTGGATATTGTTCAGGCTCCATGGCACTTGTTGGTGACTCTTTTCGTTTCGGAGATCCCTCCTCATAGCGTTTTTCAACGGGCTTCTGAGACACTTCTTCCATTCGTTTCTCGAACTCTTCTGGACTTTCCATCTCATATCTCGTCGTAGTTGTGACCACTTCTGTCACGATTGGGCGCTCTTCGCGCTCCTCAGTGATAGGCGACTCCTCCGGTTTTGGTGGCATTTCTTCCAGTCGCTTCTCGAATTCTTCCGGACTTTCCATCTCATACCTCGTCGTAGTTGTGACCACTTCCGTCACTACTGGATATTGTTCACGCTTCATCGAGTTACCTGGTGACTCTTCTCGTTTCGGAGATTCCTCCTCATAGCGTCGCTCGAATTCCTCAACGGGCTTCTGCGACACTTCTTCCATTCGTTTCTCGAACTCTTCTGGACTTTCCATCTCATATCTCGTCGTAGTTGTGACCACTTCTGTGACGACTGGGCGCTCTTCTCTTCACGCTCCCTCAGTGATAGGTGATTCCTCCCGTTTCGGAGATATTTCTTCCCACCTCTTCTCATATTCTTCTTCCGGTTTCGGTGGCACTTCTTCCAGTCGCTTCTCGAATTCTTCTGGACTTTCCATCTCATACCTCGTCGTAGTTGTGACCACTTCCGTCACTACTGGATATTGTTCACGCTCCATCGTAGTTACTGGTGACTCTTCTCGTTTCGGAGATTCCTCCTCATAGCGTCGCTCGAATTCCTCAACGGGCTTCTGCGACACTTCTTCCATTCGTTTCTCGAACTCTTCTGGACTTTCCATCTCATATCTCGTCGTAGTTGTGACCACTTCTGTCACGATTGGGCGCTCTTCGCGCTCCTCAGTGACAGGTGATTCCTCCCGTTTCGGAGATATTTCTTCCCACCTCTTCTCATATTCTTCTTCCGGTTTCGGTGGAACTTCTTCCAGTCGCTTCTCGAATTCTTCCGGACTTTCCATCTCATAGCGCGTGGTAGTTGTGACCACTTCTGTGACGACTGGGCGCTCTTCACGCTCCTCAGTGATAGGTGACTCCTCCGGTTTCGGTGCAATTTCTCCCACTCGCTTCTCATATTCTTCTTCCGGTTTCGGTGGCACTTCTTCCAGTCGCTTCTCGAATTCTTCTGGACTTTCCATCTCATACCTCGTCGTAGTTGTGACCAACTTGTCGTCACTACTGGATATTGTTCACGCTCCATGGTAGTTACTGGTGACTCTTCTCGTTTCGGAGATTCCTCCTCATAGCGTCGCTCGAATTCCTCAACGGGCTTCTGCGACACTTCTTCCATTCGTTTCTCGAACTCTTCTGGACTTTCCATCTCATATCTCGTCGTAGTTGTGACCACTTCTGTGACGACTGGGCGCTCTTCACGCTCCTCAGTGATAGGTGATTCCTCCCGTTTCGGAGATATTTCTTCCCACCTCTTCTCATATTCTTCTTCCGGTTTCGGTGGCACTTCTTCCAGTCGCTTCTCGAATTCTTCTGGACTTTCCATCTCATACCTCGTCGTAGTTGTGACCACTTCCGTCACTACTGGATATTTTCACGCTCCATCGTAGTTACTGGTGACTCTTCTCGTTTCGGAGATTCCTCCTCATAGCGTCGCTCGAATTCCTCAACGGGCTTCTGCGACACTTCTTCCATTCGTTTCTCGAACTCCTTCTGAACTTCTCATCTCATATCTCGTCCGTAGTTTGACGCACTTCTGTCCAGCGATGGCGCTCTTCGCGCTCCTCAGTGATAGGCGACTCCTCCGGTTTTGGTGGCATTTCTTCCAGTCGCTTCTCGAATTCTTCTGGACTTTCCATCTCATACCTCGTCGTAGTTGTGACCACTTCCGTCACTACTGGATATTGTTCACGCTCCATCGTAGTTACTGGTGACTCTTCTCGTTTCGGAGATTCCTCCTCATAGCGTCGCTCGAATTCCTCAACGGGCTTCTGCGACACTTCTTCCATTCGTTTCTCGAACTCTTCTGTGACTTCTCTCATCTCCATATCTCGCGCTCGTAGTTGTGACCACTTCTGTGACGACTGGGCGCTCTTCACGCTCCTCAGTGATAGGTGATTCCTCCCGTTTCGGAGATATTTCTTCCCACCTCTTCTCATATTCTTCTTCCGGTTTCGGTGGCACTTCTTCCAGTCGCTTCTCGAATTCTTCTGGACTTTCCATCTCATACCTCGTCGTAGTTGTGACCACTTCCGTCACTACTGGATATTGTTCACGCTCCATCGTAGTTACTGGTGACTCTTCTCGTTTCGGAGATTCCTCCTCATAGCGTCGCTCGAATTCCTCAACGGGCTTCTGCGACACTTCTTCCATTCGTTTCTCGAACTCTTCTGGACTTTCCATCTCATATCTCGTCGTAGTTGTGACCACTTCTGTCACGATTGGGCGCTCTTCGCGCTCCTCAGTGATAGGCGACTCCTCCGGTTTTGGTGGCATTTCTTCCAGTCGCTTCTCGAATTCTTCCGGACTTTCCATCTCATACCTCGTCGTAAAGTTTGTGACCCACTTCCGATCCACTACTGGATATTGTTCCACCTCCATGTAGTACTCGCTGACTCTTCCTGCAGTTTGCGTGATGATTCCTCCTCATAGCGTCGCTCGAATTCCTCAACGGGCTTCTGCGACACTTCTTCCATTCGTTTCTCGAACTCTTCTGGACTTTCCATCTCATATCTCGTCGTAGTTGTGACCACTTCTGTCACGATTGGGCGCTCTTCGCGCTCCTCAGTGACAGGTGATTCCTCCCGTTTCGGAGATATTTCTTCCCACCTCTTCTCATATTCTTCTTCCGGTTTCGGTGGAACTTCTTCCAGTCGCTTCTCGAATTCTTCCGGACTTTCCATCTCATAGCGCGTGGTAGTTGTGACCACTTCTGTGACGACTGGGCGCTCTTCACGCTCCTCAGTGATAGGTGACTCCTCCGGTTTCGGTGCAATTTCTCCCACTCGCTTCTCATATTCTTCTTCCGGTTTCGGTGGCACTTCTTCCAGTCGCTTCTCGAATTCTTCCGGACTTTCCATCTCATAGCGCGTGGTAGTTGTGACCACTTCTGTGACGACTGGGCGCTCTTCACGCTCCTCAGTGATAGGTGATTCCTCCCGTTTCGGAGATATTTCTTCCCACCTCTTCTCATATTCTTCTTCCGGTTTCGGTGGCACTTCTTCCAGTCGCTT